GGGGGAAGAGTTATTATGCCGTGTGTAACGAGTGTGAAGCATTTGGCAAATTCTTGCAGGACTTTCAGATGAGAGGCCCTGTGAAACCACCCTTCTAGGATAGCACAGCTTTAGGAGACAGAATATATTTTTCCTGTCTACAGACATTCTCTGTCATTCGTTCTACCCATTTTCAGGGGAGTGTCTCACAGAAGAATCCCACCTGTGTAGGACTATAGGCTTTTCCTAAAGCAAAATTTGAAATGCTGTTAGCACCATCAGAGTTGCAAGATGCGCACTTGTACTTTCTAACAAACCAACCACAGCCTGCAGGTAGGCTCTGCCGGCCTCTGGAATCTCTTTTGTCTATAATGCTTGAACCCATCATGCTTCACCTTCCAAGAGTCTCCCTCTTAAAAAGTGAGATCATTCTCAAATCTTTCTCTCATGTTGCTTCATGTTTCCATTGCCTTCAGAGCCCCCACGTTATCAGAAGTTTCCTTCCATGACAGAAAATGCCGTTCTCTAATGTGTGAGCAGACATTGATAAGAGAGGGTCAAGTGTTCCAGATGTAACTTGATTATTTGCAGAATTAACAAATTCATTGTCCTGAAAGGGAGGAACAGAGCATCCAAGCCTTTCACTCTTGCAAAACACCACTTCTGCTCTGCTAAATGCTAAGTCTTATACCTACACCATTATTTTCCTTCAGGAAGTTACGTACATCTCACTGTTTCAGATCACATTACTCCCCAGATTTTACCCCTGTAAAATTTCCAGTTGGACTTCCTTCCTTCCTTGTGTTTTGGTACCGTGCCATGAAAAAGAAATTCAGAGCTTTAGCTACCTGCCAGGGAGGTGTGTTTTGCCCCTAAGTATCCTCAACAGTTCTGGATGCAGAACTTACAGCCACTGTTCTTCAGGACATTTGGTCCTTTGTGCTTACATGATGATGATTCCAAATAAAAAGGTGCCATATGGTATTCTCTTTAACACTAAAATTCAGATATTTTGTACAGAGGTTCCATTTTACAGCTAGATAAAAATCAGAAGATACTGTTTTCTTTATTTTCTCTGGCTAACTTTAAAATAAATAGACTACTGCTTGCAAGACACTTCTAGTCAGGCATCTAGGAGAGGAGGATGACTTAAGCTTTCTTGTCCGCCAATGTCAGCACCTCCTGCACACATCTGCTTGGTCATGTGTTACAGAAGTTGTATGGTCTTCCTGTCTAAATAGTGTCCAGATAATGGTTTTCCAGTTGCCTTTTAATTGAAAGGCTTTACCTAGTTATGTGGTTCCATTATTCTGTGTGTTTTCCTAGTAAACTGGCTTAGCCTGCCAAGCCCTATATCTGCAGAGACTTCTAGCATTTGACACTGAGAAAGGCAATTGACTGATTTTTTTGAACGAATGGAAGATTACAAGCAGAAGATGTCTGAAACATCTGCTTATCTTCTTAAGAAAAGTGTACAAAAGTGCCCAGGTCAGTGAGCACTTTGGGGTGAGCCATAGTTAATGGTAAAGCCTTTTGCTTTCCTTCAGAAAAATTGAGGCATTTTCTGGACATCTTAGAATTCTATGTAAGTGACAATTAACATCATATCTTCCATTTTCTTTCAGAAAGATGCAACTGTGTGGCGTAAACCATCAGAGGAATTCTGTGGATATCTGTAAGTTTGCCTGCAGAGCAGATAGAATTTTAAGGTTCCATAAATGTGTTTTGTAGAATTTAGAAATTAAGGCCATGGATTCTACAGCATTCTGCTACACAGATTCTCCACAGGAGAAGCTAAGTGGATCATCTAGGGTGCCTGTACATTTCTTTTTAGTATTATACTTTGATGCTTTAGTGTTGCATGGTGTCTAGAACAACGAACAATGAAAACTGTGGAACACACCACAAAACTCCCATTGGCTGAAGTGGGCAACAACATATACCCAGACCTTTTAGAAAGATGGTCTGCAAACCACAGAATCAAGTCCAGGTTCAGTAGGTCTGAAGTGTCAGTGCTTGGGCTGTCACAGTGACTATACAACTACAATAGAGTAAAATATCAAGCGTGTAGTTGTGGGAAAGATGGGTGACATAAAAGCCCTTCCTGTGTGATTTTCTGTCACTGGGTTCTATTGGTATCTGTAGGTTTAGGTAGAGAAATAATGACTAAAAACCAGCACTCGAAAAAAAAGGAAAAGTCATGTGAAAAAGTAGTGTTTGAAAGTATCTCAAAGACTGATATGCTCTGTGGAATTTAAATCTTGTTAAATCTGCAAGAGCTGATGGCCCCAGACACCAAGAGTCTGCTGACTCTGTACTGGGCCATGGGCACAGTGGCATCAACAACAGGTGTAACTTGAACCACTGCCAAGAGGGCAGTGGCTGTTATGTGCAGATGAAGGCATCAGGGTTGTGTGTACACCTGGTGTAATAAAGGACACTTGGAAGAACTGTACAAACGCCTACCTAGAAGCCACTGGCATGTTCATGTCGTCCTCCAGTTCTGACTATACAGCTGAGATTGGCTCCAACCAGGTAACTGTGAGTGAATATGGGTGAACTGCGCAAGTGAATAGATGAATTTGTTGCTTGACTAGTTATGTACTATTAATAAGAACAGCTTAATGAATAAGAATTATTTTGAAAATAATGGTTCTGATGGATTCTTCCCCTTCAGGAGCTGGAGGCCCAGTAACTCAAGTAAACAAAATCTCTGGTGTCTACTAAAAATATCTGATAACAAGTGAATGTTCTGTAATGTCTTATACCAGATTATTTTATTTGGTACTCTAATACGCCACCAAAGCATAACGTAGTTTCTCATTAGCTTGGTCCTACTACTGTTACTTCTACTTTATGAAAAATGTTTTTCCCATTGTACCCCTGCTTTCTTTTCTTTTTGCTTTTAGCTTTACTTGTCCCTGGTGGACTCCCTTGCTCCCCCAGCAAGAGCAGCAAAATACCAAGTTGTTAGAGAAATAAACATGATGATTTTTATCTGAGGAAAGAGTTTGCTGTTTACAAAATACTAATTGCAGCATAAGGACAAAGCTTCTCAGAATAACATTTATTGCAGAGGAGAATAGGTGCACCCATAGGTCTTTTTTTGTACTGTCTTTCTGATCCAATTGTCCACTGACCATAACTCCAGGTACCAAGGTATTACAGTAAGTATGCTGTTGCAAATTAAAGGAATATTTATAAAGAATTTCTCACTTTTAAATGTAAACATATGTTTCTCTAGCTACAAAGCTCAAGGAGTGGTGGAAGATGTTACTAACAGAATAGTGGATCATATTCGCCCTGGACCTTATAGGCTAGACTGGGACAGCTTGATGACTACAATGGACATCATGGAAACTTTTGAAGAGGTGAAGACTTGTTTAGATGTTTAAGGGAAATGTGTATAGATGTATATGTGGATTTAACAGTACAGCAGAGCAGTCGTTTCAACAAATACTAACATTTTTGTTAGCCTGGTAGCCTCTCATAAAATTCACATATAGAGAGCTACAGTATAGTATTTTATATGCCAAAGCCTTCCTTTGGTTACTGGGGACATACAGTATGACTCCAAAACCCCATTGACATCTGGCTTAAACATGGATTGTCTTTTGCTCTGGCTGTTAAAGAAGATTTATATGGCAAGGTATTTTTGCTCATTATTCGCTAAAATTTATACAAACTTGGTGCCATGATGCTATGATGCTTCTTATAAGAAAGCCTTTTTTGAAGACTTGTTTGCGTTCTGATTTATTGTTCACTTGGCGGATTAAAAGTACTTGACAGAGCATCTTAGTCCTGAGGGAGGCCTCTTGCAATTTATTCATGGTCCTTTCAGACTTGCTAAGTAGTGGTTAAGCCACATAAAAACCACATGGCTTTCAGTTCCCAGGCATGACAGAGTTCTGTAGCTTTAGTCAGTATGGTTTAAATGCGCCAGATATTCTCAGCTGCTGCAGCTCTCAGTTGCAGACTGCAAGTCCTTACAAACTTCCAGCATTTAGACTGAAAATGACACAGCCATTCAGACCTCACTGAAGTTATTTGAACAGTGTGGTTGACAGAGGCTGCAACCTTTGTGGAAAAGGCTAGCTGCCTACAAGCATAAATTTCGCTGTATTCATTATACTAAGGTGTTTTTGGTTTTTACCCTCCTCATTCTGTCACTCAACAAGAACTGCTGTGTGATGCGCTACACCACTGCTGGCCAGCTCTGGAACATCATAGCACCAAGGGAGTTTGTGGATTTCTCTTACACTACAAGCTATGAAGATGGGCTTCTAACATGTGGTAAGGCACCACTTAACCTCTGCTTAATTCTTATTTTGCAACAGCTGCTCGGCTTAAGATTTGATTCAAATTAAGTTCAGTTCTGCAGTAAGCGTTCAAAAATGGTGTAAGATGGTCTCCAACAAGTATTTCAAAGGTATTTTAACATTTTACAGATTTAGAGAAGTATACAAGTTACTGGTTTACCCATGAGCCATCCCTGTGTGCCAAGTTTCATTTATGCCAGCTGTGGGACAGGAGTGGTAGAGACAAGTTGTGAGGCTCTGACTCAGCTCTTACAGCAAACTGGGTGGAGTAACAGCTTGGTATTAAATAGGAGAAATGTCTTTTTAATGTCAGAATTTTTGCTTATCAAGTTCTGCTTGTCTGTCGTGGAGTTTGGATGAAGAGCAGACAACTTTCATGCATGAAAGTACCCAGAAACTTGGAGTGTGTCTGTCACTTCTACTAAATTCCCCAAGCAGAAACATGTAGATTTTAAATTTACTGTACCTTTATTTTCTATTTGTCTCAAATTAATTTTCCTTTTTTTGTTTGTTTTCCTTGATAGGTATAAGCCTAGACTATGGAGAGGTGAGACCTAACTTTGTCCGTGGATTCAATCACCCTTGCGGTTGGTTCTGCGTCCCTCTCAAGGACTATCCTAGCCACAGCCTTTTGACAGGCTATATTCAGACTGAACTGCGAGGGATGCTACCACAATCTGCAGTAGACACTGCCATGTCTAGTACCCTGGCCAATTTCTACTCTGACCTCAAAAAGGCACTGAAAACATAGACAAACAGTGACTTAAAAGCCCATGCGTTTCTTGCAATCAAACTATATTGTTTAGCTTAGCATAGGTTAGCTACTGAGTTAAGAGGTGAGTAACATTGTTCCTGAATGATACCTGAACCTTTATGTAGAGGGATCCAAACAACTTTACCAAGTACTTTTTGATGTGATACTTAGCACACATTCCTAATTCACAGCGCAAGATTCTGTTTCCTGTTCAGCACTCTGCAGCTGTGTGAGGAGTAGTCTGAATCTATAAACCTCTGGCTTCCTAGGTAGAAAACACAAGGTGTGTGGGGGGACTTGACTTGAAAAATGCAGCATGAACTCAGCTCTCACCAACAGTATTGAGAGTGGAGTGCTCAGGATTTTGCAGGTGCAGGTCGCTGTACAGGCAGGATCTCACTGAAGATGTGATTTTGTAATATATATATTTTTATATTTACTTAAAATTTTTGATTTATGTAGTTTGTACGGGTGCATCTGTAATTTGTTTTAAAAGATTTGCTTTGATTTATCGTAGGGATTACATAGCTAAGTTGTTAAATTATACTATTCATAAGAAAGCTATTCGCTCTTGTTAGTAAAAATAAGTATTCATTATTGGCATTTCTTTGATGTTGTAACTGTAACTTAATTAACTGTTATATATAACAGTCTCAGTGCATAGATAAAGAAATGCCCTTACAGCTGATCCAAAGCTCATTTAAGTCATCAGGTGTCTTTCCATAGTTTTTACTGGGCTTTTAATCACACAGTTGTCAAAATAGGAAACTTCCATTGGATCTTCTGTGATACTCTGCACTTCTAAAGAATTTTTTACTTAAATTTGCATGTAATTGTGTGTGTGGGTTTTTTGTGTCTTCCTTAACTGAACAACCTGGAATTACTAAAGCGACAGAAAGGACCACTATATAGTATAGGTATAGGCATTGGTGTAGCCACAACGGCACAGACTGCCAGCATGCTGGTACAGCACACTGGAGTGTTCTGTGGTAGTACCCCTAGATTGATCTTTGCAATAAATGAAGTGAGCATCTTAAAACATGAGCAACTGAAGGCCAAAGCTCAAGCTGCAGAGTTGCTCAGATCTGCTGGAGGATGGAGGGTGAGATTTTTAAGGATATTTAGCCAGCCAGTGATGCTGACAGGTACATAGCAGGGACTTTCAAAAGATTACTGTCTGTGCTGTTAGGAACCTGAATTCTGTTTAAAACCTGACATTAAGCTTTTAATGTTGGCATGCATCATTTGCTCAGGTGAGATTGTAATTATCCCTATGCTTTACCAGTGCTAGTAGAGGCAAGTTTAGCTGCATAGTAAATAGGGAAAGTACCTCGGAGCCCTAATATTTTGGGGGCATTTCTATGCATACAATCCAAGGACTGATAATGGACTCTTAGGAAAAAAAAATTCAGATGAAAATTGTTCCCCTGCAATATTGGCTCTTTGGACACTGGCCACTGTAGCTGAACTCTGAACAGTGAGGACTTTTCTTTCTCATTGCTCAAGTGGAGAGGTAGAAAAGAGATGACACCAAGTATAGTGAGGGCTCTCCCAACATGCTTCATGTATTGAGGCATTTAGTACTGTTTAAGACACTTAAAAACAATGGCCTCAAACAGCCTTTGGTGTCTTCATAGGCAGAAAATGTCAGCTCCCTGTTCAGTTTTGTGTATTCTGCAGTTCCCTTTAAACACCGTGGTTACTCTTCCCATCTTTTCTATCTTCCTTGTTTCCCCTGCAGTGCTGGAAGTTCACAAGGTGATCTTGCACCACCGCAAGGACACTAAGGAATCAGTGTCAGCAGACACACTTTTTCCTAAATGCTAGGGTCCACTCCTTTCTAGTACTGGTACAGAGGCAAGTATGAAAGCCCTAGCAATACTGCTGTGCGGGATGAATGCTGACATGATTATAGAGGAAACTGTGTGAAACGTACCCTTTTTATTCTTCCCGGTTATAAAGACTACCTGTATAGTGAATCTGCATATTCATGTCTTCTTTTTTTTAAAACTGCTGCGACTGACTAATTGAGGGATTGTGATACAGATGTATATAGAGAAAAATATTCCATTGCTCTGTAAAAAGCCCAGTTTAAATCTACACAGAGGCACTTCAGTGCTGGAGAAACGGGTCAGAAGGAGCACAAGACTTAGAGGATGATGTTTGTACAACAGTAGGCGCTGCAGAAAAGATTAAGAGGTCTCTGTTCCAAACTCCTGTTAAAAGGGCTCTAACACCCCTAGAGTACCTACCGTTATTTAGCGTTGAGTGAAACAGCTTTTTATGCTTTCAGTGAAGATAGGCTGATGAAGCACAGAGCAGTTGAAGAAAGAAGACTTACGTTTAAATGGAAGAAAATTCCTAGTGTGTTTTAAGTATGATGATGTTTTTTATAAAAATTTCTCCATGCAGATTTCCTTTTTATCAACAGAGTTGTTTTCAGTAGCAGGCCTAGAGATGGAAAGGTTTTGTGAATGAGAATAAAGTTTCTGAAAGCAAAGTAGTTCTTCTATTTTGCATTATAGTAATTTATTCCTTAAACACTGATTAAACTGGCTTTGTGTGTTTTAACAAACGAAGTCTATTGCTTCTGCCAATGAGTCTGAACATTCAAGTGAGTAACAGAGTAGTGACTGCCAGAGACAGAGAACAGAGTCAGATTTATTTTTTTTTTAATCAATGAAAGAGCATAGTACAATTCTCCAGTTTTCAGATGAGGAGAAATCACAGAAGGTGGTAATGAATTTTAAGGATTTATAATGGGAAATCTCACACTTCTAAAAACGTTTCTGATTTAGGAGTGCAATGATTGACAATGTATGCTGATTATGCTGCTGAAGCAATGCATAGCTGATAGTCCTACAGTCATTATTCCAAGCGGTTCATCTATAGAGTAATACAGAACTAGAAGAAAGGTGTCCCGTTTTCTAGTGTGTTGTATTTATGTGAAACCAAAACTTATTTTCTTTTTATACAGCTAAGGATTGAGAGGGGTGTTAGATCTTGAATCAGGCCTGTTCTTTAACCAGACTACATTCAGAACCAAGAAAGCCACAAAATCAAGTACTCATCTGGCCAGAACCTCTTTTCCCACTACAGCATTGTTTTCCTCCTAAGTTAGTGGACAATCTAGGTGACGCCAAGACAGTACTAACAGGAAAGTAATTGAAAGGACAAAGTGCAGGAGCCCATGTTTGGCTTGTTAGAAGGTAGTGGGAGACAAAGTAAATCACCTGGTATAGATTTCTGTCATCCTCACAGTTTGTGAGGTTTGTCAGTGCTTGAGTTTAAGAGTGTTTCAGTTAAGCTGGAATACATTTATCTGAAAGTAACTTCTGAATGAGGTGCCCAAGAATAGCAGAGACCAGTTTTTGCTAGGGAAATGGCATATAAATAGGCACATCAAAATTATTTTTATATGACTAGTTGTTTTTTTTTAAAAACTTACTTTTTCAGGGATTTAGGCAATATGACAGTCTAATCTTCGGCACTTTAACTACATGCTCTGTGTGTGGATGGGAAAGGTGGCTAAAGAAGAAAATTTTCATATTTGGCTTCTGTTCTTCATCTAAAACCTCAGCATTGACCTTGCCTGCAGCTGTGCTTCTTATTTTACATATGCAGAAGATAGAGATTGGGCTAAGTTCAATTTGGGGGCAGTCCAAGGAACTCTACCACAGCGTGCTGGGAGGTGGACCAGTACTTCAGATAGATGCTCTGGGAACAGCACAAGCCCTGATCTCAAATTTCATTAATTTATAAACATGAAACGTGATGAATTTGTAAGACGCGAAAAGAGTGTATAATTCCTCCAGTAATTATCAATAACCAGAACTATTTTGATAGTGTGAGCTGGTGATTCAACCTAGAAGATTCATTGCTGTAAAAGTAGCCATAGTTCTATTGAAACCTGTCAAGTTGTGCCTATGTTCAGAAAGTCAGTCTATCTTAACAGTGGTTTTAACTGACTGTGTTCAGCACTTAAGAGAATTGTATTTATATTTTGTATGCAATTACAGAATAAATTAAAACATGGATTCCAACAGACTCATGATGTACCTTTTTCAATACTTGTGCAGGCAGATGTAGCGTTCAGTTATTTTTGGGGGAGTTATGTGTGATGATATAGTTGATCTTCAGCTGCATGGTGGTCTCTAATGCTATCAATTTGTCTACTTAACTTTAAAAGCCAAAAAGCCTATCTTTACTTAGAAACTTGATTTAGGCCTAGGAAGATGCACAACTCAGATTTCTGCTAAATTGAAGTCTCTTGAAAACAGTACATATAGGGTTTTCTCAAAGCTTAAATTCTAAAAAGATACATTTTTTTTTGTAATTAACCTGTGATTGCTGTGGAAGAACTTTATTAGTTTTATCTTACTATTACTTACCTTTTAGCATGTTTAAGAAATGGTTTATTAACCATCAAAACTAAGTTAATCCAAAACACATGAGCATATAGCACCTTTCAGAAGGCATATAGATGTACATTAGGGTAATAAAGCATGCTGGAACATGTATTTTGACATGTATTTAATTAGCACCTACAGAAACAAGGGAAGAAAATGCCTGTATCTTACGTAGAACCTTTCCTTGTTTCTCTTACTACGCCTGCACAGAGGCAGGAGAGTTCTGTAACATCCTTCAGAGCAAGGAGCTGCAGCCCTCTTCTGTTGGTTTTCTACGGAACTGTGACTTCTGAGATACAGCATGTTCTTGTGGGGCATGTATGATGTCACCCTCTGCAAAGTGGGGTAAAAACAGGTACAGAGGCCACTTCAGATCTTCAGAAAATGATTAAGGACATTAATTAGAATTATTAAGAAAAATTGTGATGTTTAAACCCATTTCCTGGTGAGAGAAAATATGAAGATGGGAGAGATTAATAATAAAATCAATGTTAAAGATTAAGTGTTCTCTAGGAAAGAATATATCCTGAAGTCCTAGACCATAATTTAAACTTTGCAATACATTCTGCCTTTTCCAGTCCCCACTGAGCTGTGCTGGTGACTCAGTTTTACAGCACAGGTAGGGACTGATTACTGTGGGGTTAACCTTCCTCGGGATTGTGCCACTAGCAGGGAGAAAACAGGCACAGATGATGACAGCACATGACAGGAGATGTCTGTGCACGTTTCACAGCTGACCCACACAATAAGAGATGTCACATATCCTTGCTTGGGCATCTGGGTTAAGGTGTCCCAAATCCCAACACATTATCCAGAACTGTCTCTTCCAAAGTGATTTTCTTCAAAATTTCTCATTCAGCCAGTAAAGCCAGTATGACTGCCTAATGATCCTTGAAAATATTTCTTTGATACAGGCAACATAGGTGGAGCTATTAGAAGATCAGTTACTGCCCAAAGTATAATCACAAACTGACCTTGCTCAGGCCTTCTGTGGACCAGTTTGGCTGTGCCCTGGGATGCCTGATAGAAAGTATTTCCTGAGCTCTGTACCTGGGACTGCTGACCTGCCTGCCAGCACAGACCCAGCTCTGAGACAGGTTATGACCCTAGGCAGCAAATTACTATCCTAAGTAAGATTCCCTGTCTTTCTCAGGGTGTCAGTCTGAGTGCTGCCTTTAATTTGGATTCCAATCACACAGCATTATGGCTAGCATGTTGGTGTTACTAATTCAAGCTCCAAGGCTCACTGGGGATGCAGGGCAATGCTCAAGGGGGTGCGTCTGAGCAGTTGCAAACATGAGTACTTTGATATTTGGGTACCATACGACCCCTCCTTGTCTGTATGCCTAACAGGATTCTGAGCTCCTCACAATTTGGAGGAAGAAGGCAAGAAATTGCAACATGCCTGTTCACTGGAGCATGAGGAAGGTCCCTACAAACCAGCATCTCTTACACATACAGGATTAAGGATGGAGCCCCTATATGCACAGCCACCTCTGCTGAATTTCATGGTCTCCCTGTATCAACCAATCAGACTAATTTAACAGATACAATTAAACATGAACATCTGTACAGAAACACAGCCCATTAGAGTTGAGGTGCTGAAAGTTTCCCAAAACCAGTAGGTGTAGTAATCTTCACCAGAAGACCATCGTACATGGAGGAGTTAGTGACCCACACAGCAGTTAACCTGAGCTGGGCCAGGCCCATGCTGCGCTGTGCACGCTCCCTGGCTGCAGGATAAACTTACCCAGCTAACGGTAGCAGAGGAGCCCGCAGGCGGCTGCCACACAGTACCAGTGATTACACCACCTGCGTGGCCTTCCCTGTATCCAACAGTGCAGCAAGAAGTTCTCATGTGGACATCCTTCCTGCTTGGCAGTAGAAATGATAAGTAGTTTGATAAATGAAATGATGAATTGTTTTAAGAAAATCCTGTAATATCTCAAATAACAAAAAAATGGGGTAACCCCTTCCACGGGCTGGATCTGCACAGTGTGCTATGCCAGAGGTCTGTTTGATGCCTCACAACTCAGCGTTCCCAGCATTTGAAGGGATGCAAAATCGTCTTTACTACCCTCTCTTTCTTTGTTGTGTTAGTGTTAATAAATAGCACTTTAAACGATACTTTACAGAGGCTGATTGTCTTTTGACTGGGATCA